TCATCCGTGACTCTATAACTTCCTAGATCTCATAACTTTAATAAGTTTCATACAGTATGCCAATATCCTGACCCAGTTTGTGCCGCATACGTTGCATCACCTCCTCATGCATTGTGCTGCAAAGCTCCTCAATTTAGAATAACAGTATGAAAAATGCTGGAATCAGGCGACGACGTGATGCTGCATAATGCGCATCGATGCCGCCGGTGGAGAGTTATTTATTTAGCTCTGAGCAGGACACGGGGATGCCGAGCACTCCGGCTTCCTTTATGATAAATAAGAGAGGCTGCTGTCGTGCTGTGTGTTTGTGGGCGGCTGTGGTGTAGCTCCAGGTATCTGGTTTACACTAAAGATCGTTGGTGTTTTGATTTGACACCTGAACATTGTACAAGCCTTGCTCGCTGTCTGTCACACACACACACACACACACACACACACACACACACACACACACACACACACACACACACACACACACATGCACAGGCATCAGCAGGTATACTTATCTCATATTCTCCACCAGACTGGAAACACTGTCAGCCTCACCACAAGCTCTTTAAAGTGATTTGTGTGTGGGTGTTCCTGCATGCACATTTCAGTGTAAGTCGGTGAGTTTCGGGGGTGTGCACAACCGTTTTAGTGCGTCTGTGTGTGCGTGTGTGTGTGTGTGTGTGTGTGTGTGTGAATACAGCCTGTCAGTCTGCTTTACCGCGTACAAACTGGCATCGTTAGCATGCCTGTGACTGGCTGCCACGGCACACTGGGTTGAACGCTGACAGCGAGGAAATGCGGAGTTTAAAATTTTGTTGTATTATTTCCAGCATATTTGTTCATTTGACAAGTTTGCATCTCGACAAATGTGGATACAGCTCAGCTGGCAGAAATCACGGGAAGACACGGGAGCATCTGCAAACGCACACGTGGATGTGCTCGCACGCTAATCCGCTGTCAGCCGTAAAAGAGCATCATGCAGCATCATTGCAACAATTTTCCTTCGTAAATCAAACGCAAGCAAGATCAGAAATAGACATCAACATGTGCATCAAGAAGCTGCTTAATTGTCAGTGCACCACAGCAGGCATTTCAAAAACTCACAATAACTTGAATCAACTCACTTCTAAACTACTTTTCCATAACTAAAGCAAACTATCTCAAATCATAAATCGGCTTTTTCGAGTTTGATTGCACCTCTAAAATGTAATAGATTTCTGCTATATGGAGACAAATGGGTTCTTGTAACTCTGCCATGTTTAAAATAGTTTGAATGAGTGCTTTGATAAAACTGGCTAAAACTTCAAAATAAGTACACGTAAGGGAACAGAGCCACTGAATTACATTCAATGATCTCCAATGAATAATAGGATTACATTCCTACACTGTGAGAGGATTATGTGGCACTAGAACAAACTGAACGTGGTGCTTTCATTCGATTGCCATATGCAGAAAGGCTAGATTGCAGCTAAGTTTAGGAAAGGACAGCAGGTTATTTGAGGCTGGGTTTGTTCAAGTCAAAACAAAAGCTTTCTTGCGTCAGGAGGAACTTACTGTAGATTAGTTTAATCAGATCGTCCTTTTAGGAATTCCTGGTAGTGACGACATGTTGACTTGATTTTCTAATACCAGGATACACAGATACCAGTTGACTCTTTGTGAAGCATAGGTGGGAACTAGAAGATGCAAGCTGGTTTGTAACATTAAATAACTCATCCAAAACAAACTTAACATACAGAACATCAGTGTGATAAGAAATCCTTAGTATAATGTAGCACTATAACTAAAATGACAGTTATTTAGATCATTGTTGATATCATGATTGTGCGTCACTATTCATTGATTTTATGGAGAAAACACTTTTTACTTTACTTTCAAATTTGACTGTTGTCCACCTTTATATAAAGTTTATGTAAATAAAATTATGAATTGAAGAAAATTGGCAAAGTTATACAAATGATGCAATTTTTCTTCTTCTTTTTAAATTTTTTTTGCAAAGTTTTTGTTTGTTTTGCTTTGGTGCAAATGAACCTAACTGGGATCTAACTTGTTAATACATGCAGGAAGCTGCAGGTAGGCATTGTATATATTTATATATATATATATTGTTACGACCTGGCTCAAGATGGTCGCAACAAAAGGAGAGATGCACCAAGTTTCAAAAATTAAAGCTTATCTTTATTCCCTTAAATTATATCAAATTAAAAACCAAACCAATATGGGGTTGTGAGAATACATGAAGTCAGTGGTGTGTGTGTGTGCGTGATGTATGCATGAATTATGTCTGTGCAAGTGTTGTAAATGCAAATGTCCTAAACAAAGAAAACTAACCCATGACCAAACTGGTGTGTTACCTGCGGAGGGAAGCAGAGTGGAGAGAGATTAGACTGCAGTCAGCCCAACCCAGGAACACACTGGGTGTCACAGGTGCTCCTGATTACCTCAAACAGCCACTCACAGAACCAATAGTCGAACTAGAACCACCCACAAGATACAAGATGACCTCAGGGGTCATCACAATATAAATATATATATATATATGGACTGTATATAAAAACTGGATGTAAACTCTGTGTCTGAAAAGCACAATAATGTCTTACACCTGTGTTGTTTTTAGTAGCCAGCAGGGGGCGACTCCTCTGGTTGCACAATTACGTCTGACTGTATCGAAGTCTATCTGATAATGACTCAGTGACTCATCACTCTTCTCCCTTAATCTGTTACCTTGGGCTATGTTTTCTTAATGACTTTATGGCCTCAACTGCTAGTTTCATAACACTGAAAACAGCGTGACGTTCATTTAGTTAATTATGGTCCCATTCAGTCTAAAACAGCTGACTAAGCAGTGTATCTGTGACGGCACTGCTGTGTGTGTGAAAGCAAGAGGAATTCTAAGCTCTCAGGTTTTTATTTATTTACATGTTAATCTTCTGTTTATGATCACTTTCTCATATTTTTATTCATTTTGAGCCAAACAAACTGTGTTCAGGGTTTTAGGCTGACCAAGGCTGATCTCAGTCTGGGGAAAAGTGTGTAACATGATTAAAGTTAGAACAAGGGACTTTAGGAATGAAGTAAGGGATGTAGGACTTAAGGGTTTCTTGCAAGATATGAAAACCTTAAACCTAAGCATCTACATACAAGGAGATAAAAATACGATTTTTGTTTGCTGTCATGTTGTAAATAAGTGTTGATCTTGTTTTTCTCCACAACTGAGACGCTGTAAAATTTACGTCTCTCTCCCCATTGCAACTTAATAAATATACCGATGACCCTGCAAAATGTTTGTTATAGTATTTAAGAGTCATTGGAGGGGGCTTGAAGGTTTATCCAGGATCACAGATCTCAATATTTAGGGAAACTTTTTCAGACAAGGGTCGTATCTGGAAGCCTGAGCTTGTTCTCATGAGAAATGGAAGACATTATATCAGGGGTGTCCAATCCTGGTCCTCGAGGGCCACAGTCCTGTATGTTTTAGATGTTTCCTTCTTCCAACACACCTGATTCAAATGACCAGGATCGTTATCAGGCTTCTGCAGAGCTTGATGAGGAGCTGATCATTTGAATCAGGTGTGTTGGAAGAGGGAAGCACCTAAAACATGCAGGACTGTGGCCCTCGAGGACCAGGATTGGACATCCCTGCATTATATGATTCTTATTGTTGTTTTAAAAAGGAGGCGAGTGTATTTATTGAGTGGAAACTGAATTGTTTCTCTTTTTTAGCTTTCAGATTTGGGGTAACACTGCTGATTGTAGCTGTCATTGGTTGGCTGTTTGGGGTTTTGTCTAGTTCCAAAACACCAAATGTCAAACTTGAGGCTTCATAATGGTCGTCCACAAACCAACGGGTGATAACTTGGTTGCTACACCTCTATGCTAAGCTAGGCTAGCCAACACCCGACTATAGATTCATACTGTATTTGATGCACAGACACAAGAGTGGTATTAATCATCAAACTCATGGCGGGAAAGCAAACAAATATATTTCCCAAAATGTCAAACTAATCTTTCAAGAGTGGCTTCCTCTCTATCATGGGGTCAGTGTCTGCCTTTGCCTTTGAAAACTGTGTTTGGAAGCAGATTCGTGCTGATGGCGGCCCACAGGTTGGGTCTCTATCCTCCTGTCAGTTCTCCACTCTGATCATCTCCACTTCTGTCAGCCTCAGAAACCTTGACGGGACCTGTCCGTGTCTTTTCCTCTGTCAGCGCTGCTTTCTAGTTTTTGTCAACTCCGCCGTCCTGCTGCCAACCTTCTGTTCGGTTTTGATCTGTCCTCCCACTTTGTTGTCTTTCCATCCCTGCCTCCCTTTGCTCTTAACTTTTGTTCCCTCTGCCTTCCTGTGTCTGCTGTCCTTCATTTTAGTCCCAAGCCTGTTCCTTTTTTTTTTTTTTTCCCCCTCCCAACCACCACCATAACCCCCTTTTTTCTTCACCGTTGTCTCTGCCTTTAAATATCTCCTCCAACTTTCATCTTTTATCTTTTGTTACTCCCGTCTCTTCCTCTTTCCAGTTTTCTCGTATGCTTTCCGGCTCAGAGTCTTATGTGGGATGCACTCATTTTTTTATTTTATTACACTGTTACCAACTGCCTAACTCAGTATTTTGGTGCTAAAATTCAAAACAGCATCCCACATCTGTTGCTTTGCTGCCCTTTTTCTCAAAACAGAGTCCAGATGGCCCGCTTCGCTGCTACGTCTGTACACAAGGAATATGCAGATTTAACCACCATGAAGATTTCAGCTGCGTTCGGAACATGAAGCGGGCAATTTCTAGTGCACATTTACTCCATACTTAACAGGAAATGTGAGGATTTGGCACGTAGGGGCGGCAGTATCTGTCGACCCATCTGCCCGGCGACGTGTATGAAGTTATGTAAAGTTGAAAAAAGCTTCGAATGGTTGTCGTCTCCAGAATATATAAAATATGTAATCTGTTTTTTTTCTTCCAAGACTACTAAGAACACAGTATATGATGAGCTAAATGTGTTTCCTCTCTCTGTCTCTCTGCAGGTCTTCCCTGACGTGTCCTCATTGCCTTAAGCAGAGCAACACCTTTGATCCATTTCTATGTATCTCTCTGCCCATCCCCCTGCGACAAACCAGGTGATGTATAACACATAAGACAAGTGGATCAGTCAAAAGCCGAGATATTTGGTGGCTAATTTAAACTTTTGTTACCAATCATGGCATCAAATATGATTTTATTCAGGTGTACGGAAATACTTTACTGTAATTGGCCCATTTTTGCTGGTTGTCGGAGTCAACAAGTGTAAAACTACTCTTTTGATTTATTGTGTTTTCTTCTTTTTTTTTTGTTTTTCCAGAGGAATTGTGTGTTGAGAATTTCCTACAATGCTCTGGTTAAAGGGGAAAGTCTCTGTAGGTCACAGTGGATCTCCTCAACTGTTTAATCAAACAGCTGCTTAGCATTTGACGCTTCACACCTACAAGGCAGCCATCAGACGCCAGTGATATAATGATGTAGAGTGCCTCATGCAGCCGTAGTGATCTTCACAGATGCATCTCCAAAGGAAATTTGACGAATATGATACGCAAACAAATGCACGCGTTTGCACAAGCATGCTCCATGCATCAACAACCACCGGCCGTGGACGTATCAAAGTGATTAATGTCGGCCATCAAAAGTCCCCCTGACCAAACACTTTCTGTGTTGTTTCCATTTTTAAACGTAGCAGAAGTTGCACGTCAGCAGGGTTCTGCTGTAAGACGGTATGACTTTGACATATGAAGAGAGGGACAGTGAGAGCACGAAGAGGGAGATGGCATTTTTATTTTGACATCAAAGATGCAGGCAGAGAGAGAGAGAGAGAGAGAGAGGGAGAGCGAGCGAGTGCCCACATGCACAACAGATCAGAGCACTCACCTGCTATCTCTCCATCCAAATGAGGAAGCAGATTCAGCACCAGAACCAAGCGGGGTAACGTTGTTTGTGCAGCCCTGTCTGGCGTCTGGATGGTTTTTGCCTCGCTTGTCCTCTGAAACCTTATCAGAAGCTCATAAAGGACATCAAAGCTGGATTTCTAGATTTATATGCACTCCAGCACTGGGCTGCATTTGCATGAGTGTAATTGAATTATATGTTCAAATCTTACATCGTTGAGAGGTCACCCATGCATGTAATTCAAACAATTGTTTCTGATTAGACCCTCTTCTCAGGACTCTGTATGCATGCACTGATGTTTGGCTGGCTTTGTTTTTTCATGGCAGGACAAATTATGCCTTATTATTATTACTGAATGGAGTCCTGTGACCTCAAGTGATTCCCAATGAAAGCTGTGGTCCACCTTCAACCTTAGCTCGCGTCTGTTCAGACAGAATAACAGTATGGGATGTGCATGGTTTCTCATGCTAACCGAGGAATCCTGGGTTACTACAGCTGTGTGGATTTTATCCCATGTTATCCCCGTTCTCTCTCTGCCCATCCACACAATACAGATCTAAAAAAAAAAGACAATAAATAACCGAAAACAACAACAGCATCAGTTGAATTTCCAGCCACATCCAGTGCCTCAATTTGCCGGCATTCAGCGCTCAATGAATCTTCCTATCTTCAAACATGCAGACGCTGCCGCTTTGCATCCTCCCTGCACGGCTTCCACCGAGCTGACTCCAAACTCGGTTTTGCAGCTTGAGTTCTCTGACAGTGTGCGTTCTGTTCCTGCAGTTGCCAGAGCTCCAGCACAGAGGGAAATTCATTCAGGTTCAGTGTGGACTCACTGCTGGCCCCACACTGACCCAACACACACACACACACACACACACACACACACATGCACACACACACAGTGGCCTCAATGCACCGTCCTTCTGCAGCAGTATCCCAGCTGAATCCCTGATAAGTCTGAGGCCCCCAGAGAGACAGCAGGATCTTGGCTGCCAGCGTGGCATCAAGGCCTGGGTGCTGCAGATAATGCCAGTGTGGCAGAGAGAGAAAAGGCGGATGGCAGTAAACCGGAGTGACTCTCCCGACCATCTAACCTTGCACTGTCTTAGCATCGTTTGGGCTAAAGTCAGTGTTTCTGTTTAAAAGACTGAGAATTCACCTCAGCACTTGCTCGGTAACATCACTCGGGTTTCACTGGGCGTCTGTGTGACTTTGTGTGGGCGGATACGACAGATAGAAAAGCACAAACAGACTCCTTGTTTCTGTGGATGTTTACATGTCAGATGGCATATGTCAAATACTTGGACCAATTTACTGAAATTATTGATCTAGGTCTATTTGTGTGATCACGTAGAAAATAAAATACAAAAAAAAAATGCACAAAATTCCCTCAAACTGTCATGTTAGGTTACGAAATGTCTCCTTATTTATAAAATGTGACGCACCTAAACTTAACAAACA